GCCAATAAAAAATATATATATATAATATATATATATACATATATCACTCGGTATACCGCTCGGTATACCGAGCGGTATACCGTTCCGTACCGTACCGAGAGATCGTCGAAACTCCGGTACGGTACGAAATTTCAAACCTTGATTATAACTACATTGTGATGTTTCTTGCAATATAAGAACTTGTTTTCAACATTGTTGGGTCTGTTTTCTTAGTATAATTTATGCTTCTACCAAACTACAAGTTCTTTAAATTATTTTATTTTTTTCTACAGATAACATATAAACTTCTAGGGATAGTTATTCGACAGAATTAGGCACTAGATCATGATACCTTATTTGCAAGAAGGAAATAGCTATTTTGGATGAGATGATAAAAGAAACTAGAAATAAGAATATCAACCAAACATAGTGTAGTTAGCTCAACAGACAACTTAAAGTTGATTTTTTGTTCAGATAGGACGTCTAATTAAATATTGTTGCTATGATACTTTGTTATTGAAGTCCTAATTTAACTTAGTGTACTAGACCCTTATTTTCTCCAATGTTATGTTTGTTTGGAAATCTCTTGGACCAAAAATTATTGCTTGTAATTAGTGTTTTTAAAAATGCTAGGCACCAAGATCCCAAAACGCCCAAGTCATTAGGCGTCCGCCCGAGCGAAACAAGGTGCTCATGAATATCAAAATTTAAAATATATAATTAAAATTTTTGAACAGTCGTTATGTTCTAAGCAGTTTTTTTATATCAATGTGGTGTTCCTACCTATGTGAACTTAGAAGAACTAAGTTCTAATTCCTAATAGAGTAATAGTGCACCACCTCAATTTGATGCAACAAGTTACTTGAAGAAGGTATTACCCATAAAATGAGAAAGAGATGACTGAGAAGATGGAGAAGTAACCAGTGGCTATAGAGGAAGGTGGGGGAAGCTGGAAACTGATGGTGGGAGAAGCTACAATGACGGACAAGGTTACCGATGGCGATGGATGAAGTTGCAGTGGCAGACGAAGCGTACAAAGGTGGCGAGCTAGTGAAAGGGTTTCACTTCTAGTTTCTTTCATCAGGTCGAGCGTGGGGCGAGGGGTGTTAGGGTAAGTGACGTTAGATGCTTCGATTAAACTAACTTACTCGCCTAGTCAAACCCAAGCTCGAAGTCGACTTGATTTGGCTCGGGTGCTCGTCCGAGGCGCACAGCGCCTGGGCTCAGCCATGCGTCGGAGCGACACTTCACTGAAACGCCTTGCCTTGAGGTGTTGTGAGGCTCTTGGGTCTCGCCTTGCCTGAGTGCCTAGGCGAGCGCCTTTTGGAAACACTACTTGTAATGATAGTCAAGGAGATCCAATAAAGAACAGAGAGAATTTTTTGTGGGGATCAAAAAGGTCCAAGAATGATAGAATTCTAAAGCCTCTAGGATTGGTGTTGTTTAGCTAAAAGGAGTAGCCTTTAAGTCAATGTATAGTTGATATATTCATGTTAAGAGCGTTTAGAATTGCAGTCTCCTCCATCATCTGCCATTTGTCATCTTAAATTCACAACAAATCCTCCCGTCAAATGACATTTAGATCAGAATATGCAGTGCATATACTTCGAATGGTGGAAAAGGGAATGAACTGCAGATCCCATGACTCTTAAGAGCTAACACGATGCAGAAAGCAAATCATGTTAGTAATAAACTGAGAATTTATTTTGCACATGATTGTGTCTGCTAACACTAAATTGGTCTCTTACACTTCCGGCCAGAGCAGTTAGTAGTTACCTAAAATGGTTTGACCAGTTAGGACCTAGACAGACTGTGGAATTGACTGAGACTGGTAGAATGGCTCTATCAATCAGTGTGGATGAAATTAGTCATACTTTTAGAATAAATTAGTGCCGAACACTGGGTGTGATGGCAGGCCTGATTTATGTAATTATTGTTACTCTGAAGCAATGGATAATCTCCCTTTACAACTTATTTCTAAAAGAGTATGACAGTATTTAAATATGAAATCAATCACCAAAATGAGTTACTGTAAAAAATTGATTGATGCTTCATTACTAGCAGGTTTTTGAAAATTGGAGGTGCAACAAATAACATACCTAAAATTAAAAATAAATAAATATTATAATTTTCTTGAAGACCTAGCTTGAAAACCCTCTTCAATCTGTTTGAGATTTTGGATGCATTTACTTGTATTTGCATTGACCTCTTCTATGATATCACCAAGACACTAACTACATTCTTCTTTCCTTTGTTTCCTATGTTCAGCTTCCTATCATCTGGGATTACAACAGAAAGAGTATGTTAAACCTAGTAGCAAGTCTTGTGAAGGTACACTATTTATGTATTCTTTACTATCATTTAGCTACAAATCTTGTCAACAATCCCAAGTCTCAATTTTATGTAGTAATATGATATCTGGATAACTTTTTACATTCCAGACAGGGGTTCATGGAAGGATTTTCTCATCAAAAGATGGTCATCCATTGCCTGCCTCTGTAATGATCAAGGGGATCAACTACAAGGTAAGTTCTGTCCTGTGATTACAGTTTATATTCTTACATTATACCAAAGTGAAGTTATGGTATACTGAACTGACTTTTGTGGCTGGCATTTGATGCAACTGGACTTATAATTTACTAGCATCCTCTAGTTTGACTAGCTATTGTGGAACAGCTCAAACACGGGGGCCTAGTTCTGATGTCTGGCCTCTATGAAATGAGAGGAGACTTCTGCATAGCATTGTTAAAATAAAAAAGAACATCGTACCTACTGTCATCATATTAAAAGATTCTTTGACTTGTAAATTTTCCTTTTTTTCTTTTTTTAGGTGAATGCCAGTAGTACATTGGGTGATTACCATCGAATGTTGACCCCGGGGGAGAGCTATGAAGGTATCATCATTTTTAGCATATGTCTGACTTTTGCCCTTTAAATAATTTAAAGCTGATTCTTGGTGCTGCAAAATGTGGCTCTATGGTCATCATAGTGAGTATCAAAATGTTGGTTCTGCCGAGTGCACTGCCACAGTAACTACCAATTATTTGAACCATTTGACTAGCAAGAAAATTTTAACTTGTTGTCAAAACAGAAGACATTAGTACGGAATGACTCTTCTATGAATCCACGAATTCAAGTTAAAATCTGATGTCTACCAGGTTAACAATATTCATTTTTTTGTATCAATGTCCTTTTTTTTAATTTTTCAGTTATGGTGTCTATGCCTGGCTTCCAGCAAAAAGGTACACGAATATTGCTAGGAGATGAATCAGCTAGCTTGGATTTCATTTTGGATCCTGATGAAGCAACCAAAAATGAGCATACTAGTGTTAAAGGATTTGGCTGCAGCTGTGATGGGAAAGACAAGCTTGAGCTGGTTGAGTATTTAAGAGGGGTCCACCTGGAAATCTATATTCTTGTCTGCATATCCTTGTTTCTCTGCTTTTTGTTGAGGAGGAAAACATTGTGCAAGTTACTGAACCGGCGGAAACAGATCACACAAAAACGACCGGTGGTTGTTTAAAGCCAACTAATACATAGTAATTCTTTGGTCACCTATAAAGAAGGCATTTTTTTGGTTTCTTGGGGTGATCCTGATGGTGATGCATTCTACAAGGGAGTAGCTGTATCGTTATCTGCAAGCACGAGATGGGTGCCAGCCATAGAGCAGTAGCAGAATTTATCGGTGCTTGCTGTATACTAACTATTTGCATTAATTGAAAATGAGGTCATGTAAGTGATTTAAACTGTGTTGAAAATGAGGTCCTCTTGCGTGGTTTCCTTTCCCTTCTTGCAGTATACTGTTCTCCGTTGCTAGCTATACTTTTGTTTTTATTTAAGACCCTACCTAGCACACAGTGTTGCGGAGAACACTGATGGCACCGGTCAGATGAGTCTCCAAAGATTGATGATGCAAAGCATTCTCAAACAACTGCCCTAGAAAACTAAAAATTCTGGATTGACGTCTGCTGGAACGTATGTTGCAAGATACGGTGGTAGGAGGATGTTGGAGTCTTATAGGTCCGGCGGGTGGAAACGCATCTTTGTGTTCTTACCGCCTCCCAGCCAGATGATAAAATGGCTAAAAAAAAAAAAACTTTTTTTTTTTGTTGGTTGAAATCATTTCTCCTTCTAAGAGGCCATTCTTGTCTCACCTGCGGCTCCGAGAATTTGAAACGTGGAAGGATTTTTGACTGAGAGCAAGTATGAGAATCCCCATGTACTTACCTGATGCCAAGCTGATCACACGGTTGCCCGAAATTTGTATTCTGGTGTTTTTGTTTATTCCTTTAATATCATTTTCCTTTAATATCATTCTTCTTCGTATCACCTATTCGGTGACCAGAACCCAAGCGATCGGAAGGAGTACGCTTGTGCGGTGTTGCTACCGCATACGTTGCAGACGGGGAAAAGTCCCCAAAAAAATTACTTTGGCGGTGACCAGAACCAAAATGCCCTGAGGAAGCCAGATAGAGTGCAGGCACCTGAGGGTATTGTTACCGCATCCAAGACAGATGAGAAAAGATCGGAAAAAAAATTTTTTGGCGTCGATTGCGTCAAACTTGCCCTTTGTTTCTCTCACCAATCGGTGACCAGAATCTAAAGGACGTAACATGCCTTTTAATTATCACGCCGCGTACCACACAGAAAGATTCTGTTTCCTGGCGTCAGCTTTCCGATCTTTCACTCTCACACCACAACATCATTCTCCGGTGGAGTACTGCTTCGCGTCATCGGAGATCGACGGCCATAGAGGTCCCAAATCTCATCATCTGCAGGTGTCAATACTGTCCTTCGGATGTTATGCTGTAACAATGCCTCCTTATCGCATGAAAAATTTAGAGGCGATTCCGAGATTTCTTGATCTGTTAAATTTAAGAAATAAGTAACCCCGAGATGTACAGAGCACCAGTGGTCTAGTGGTAGAATAGTACCCTGCCACGGTACAGACCCGGGTTCGATTCCCGGCTGGTGCATTCAATTTCCTATTTTGGGGTTTTTTGGTCACGCACAAGAGATCCTTCGTTGGCTCCTCATCGACGCGAAATCTCTTCTCGGTTGTCCAAACGTTTCGATGTTGTTTCCTTGTGCAAGTCGAATACATATTTCCTTCTTCTTTATACCACCAGTAAGCATGCCATATATTTACACACAATATATCAAAGCAACACCAAGCTATACTTCATCCTAGTGACGAATTGTTCGGTCATAGATACAGCGAAGCCATAGCACCAGCAGTTGATAACTGGGACATCTTGTTCTGGTGATCAAGCCCAAACTATTTGAACATCTTGTTCTGGTGATGAAGCAAAAGAAATATACCAATCAGGGCAGTTTACACAAGGAACGGAGGCCGTCAACAATGCCGTGGATCGCGGCATGGGAACGGGCAGTGCCAGCAAAGAGTAGATGTTTCGGTGCTTCAGCACGATCGAAATAGAAGGCTCCAGATTTTAGTTTTTCCTTCGGTTGCAGAGCTAACCAAATCACCGTATCCGCTCCCTCATCTTTCGTCCTCAGCTTCCCTGATAACCTGGCATATCCAAGAATGTCGAGCAATTCATGCCAGCAGTGACTTGCAGTCACATTAGAACAGTTACCTTTCTGAAAAGCCAGGCAAGCTTTGAGCTACGCCGGGAGTGTCGGCCCAGCCAGGATGCATCGAATAGAAGTCAATGCCTTTACCACTGTAGGTTTCTGCCCACTTTTCGGTCAATGCCACCTAAAATCAGAAGAAATATAGGCAACATCAAATAAACTGAAAGGGCAGACGCTTCTGGCTGCTCCTCCCGTTTTTCCTTGAGCAGCCTCAAATATAATCAACATCCCCAGTCCCACCAGTAATAAGATCTTATAATGTTTCATAGAGAACAAGAAAGGTGACCAATAAAGACTAAAATGCTCAACCATGAAAAGATCCTCCGTCGCTATTACTTGGTTATAAGACTATTGTTCACAAAAGCTGACAGCACTAGAATGGCAGAATTTCCTGAGAGATTGGTTGCATACTGCACCGAAAACTAAGGTTTCATGACCAAACTTGTACCCCAACAGCATATAAATCGAGTTGCCATTAGCTTCAACGGGATGCTCCCGTGTTTATGACCACTTTATCAACTTATGTGTTTGCAGAACGCCAAATGGACAACAGCACTACTAGGAAGCAGTATGACTATACTAATTAAAATGTATTGTAGCACCAGCAATTCTGGAGGCTACAAGAGAAAATTGTCTTGAAATTGTGCAGATCATCTAATAACAGAAAGCAAATAATGTACTACTATAAAGATAAAATATAGATTGTCAGGGTTGCTATGTTCACAAATAAAAGGTAAACAAGTTCAGAGACAAAAATAGAGAAAAATAATACAAGAAAATTAAAAAGATGCAGAGAGAAGATGTCAAATGGCAAGGCTCCTTATAATTATTAAATATTTTGTTCTCAAACTCAACTATCATTCCAAAGAGATGAAGAGAAAAACAAATTTGAGCTCTTTGAGGGGCTCTTTAATTTCAGAAACAAGGACCATAACCAGTTCTTCCTCCCTATTCTAACTACTACCTTGATTTTAAAATAGCAAGAGCATGTTTCCTAATTAAGACTGTAGTTCTTTACTTATGACTCCAGATAAACTCTAATTTGACCTTTTAAGACAATTAAACAAAATAAATTATTAAAGGACAAAATCGTAAGGAGTGTCTAAAGACGGAAAATGATTTTGATTCCAATATATACCAGGCCTCATTCCATCGAATAAATTGGTGAAACATTAAATTTTTTTATCAACAAACAATGATTTTTCGTAAATCTTCCTTAAGTCAAATTGGACAAGGCAAGTTGATGTAGCATTTCCTGAAACCCTGATGCTCATTCTTAAAATCATGGATATATCCAAAGGAAATTTGGAGTCTGAACCATACATACTAACCTGCACTCTCTTGTTTCTAGCATATTGTAATGTTCCATCAAAATTGCTCTCGCTGAACTGCAGTCATGAAGTAAAAATAAGGTGCGAGATAACATGGTAACATCATTCAGAATCTGAAATAGCCATACAAGTAGTGACCCAGCAAGAATACAACTAAAATTTTGAACACGTATTAATTCATCGGACTTTAACCTAAAATGTGTGAAGCATGAATTAGAACAAAGCTACCTGTAAATCTGGCGTCAAAGGTGTTGTATACATCCCACCCGAAGAAACTGTAATAACTCGAGCATCAGGTGCTGCTTTTTCCAACAATGGCATCATTAACTCTGTTAAGGCATAAGTCGCGGCTACATTAACAGCAAAGTTCAACTCCAATCTGATTCAGAATAGCATAGTTAAGCAAGTAGAAGTATCAAATGGATATATGTGAATTTTACAATTTTTTAAACTGATGAGATTCTAGGTCTATCAATGTTTGTATTGCTGTAAATTTGAACAATATCACCAGAGGGAAATTATCAAGAAGATATGATAACTACAACAAGGAATTACCCTTCTGGCGTAGTCACTCGATTCTGCTCTAATAAACCGGCATTGTTAACCTGAATAAACAGAATTGTTCAATAATGTACTTCCTCATTTCTTTCTAATATTAAGAATCCATAAGAGAAGGTAATTCAACCAATCTCCTAATAAAAGAAAAAACTATGTTGTTACCACTACAAAACTAGACATTTTAAAAGGTTTATATTATATTATAATTATATATATATAATGTGTATCTGTATAAAAAGTTATGTTTCTTCAAAATAATCATGTACACATCTACAAGAGATATGTACATGATTATCTTGAGAACAATAATTCAGGAACAAACCTGTGCAACAATGATTTAGTATGGAGCTACAGAATGGGCATATATAAACACATATTTAAGTACAGACCATGGTCAAACATATCGCAACTATGATGAGAGAGTAATCGAGGGATTTTGTCATCTGAAGGTTTTCATTATTTGTTACTTTTATGAAGACCACTATAAACAAAGATTTGCAGTTCATTCCCTTCCCTTATGCACCCCTATGCAATAATCAGAATTTGTGTTTAAGATCATGGAATACTAAGCAATCTTGCCAGGTAGTAATTATGTTAACTTATCATACTTACAAGGACATGAAGAGGCTTCTCCTGCACAGAAAATCTAGACACAAATGCCTGAACTTCGTTAATGGAAGAAAGATCACATATCTGCCAAAAGAAATGTAAACATAATGGAGAAAGTGAAAAGGTGCAACAACTGGTAAAAGGTTATCAGCATAGTAGGAGAAGAGAATCCATCAAAGGTTCTTATTCTTGTGTGCAAATAGATGACGCATCGACAAACTTTGCTATGTAGCCCAAGAAAAGATTGAGGAAAGCTAGATCAAGCAAAACACAAACTACATCAGACAGCATACCTCCAGATGTATGTTTGAGTTACCCGTGGACAACTGAATTTTAGAGAGTGCAGCCTCTCCCCTCTCCTTGCTACGACAGACCATATAGACGGTTGCACCTCTGCAAATAAACTTGACATGTCATAGCAACAAGCATTTGCTGAGGGTAAACAAATAGTATATTTAGTTAGGGAGTACATCGGTTCACCAAATAACTTTTTTAATCATAGAATAAGTCATTACCGTGAAGCCAGACCCTCGACGGTTGCATAACCAATGCCGGAATTAGCTCCCGTGACCATGCAATTTTTTCCCTCCATATGAACTTGCATATCTTCTTCTTTGAACTTTTTGGAATGCTCCCTGGTTATGTACAATCCAATATCAGCAGAAATCAGGTGAAATACACGAAACCCAGAGCAACTATCATTTGATAGAAATTCTCGACCTAAAATCCTAAAGGCACCATTGCCTGGTAACTTGTAATCAGCACAGAGACATCACAGCCAGCAAGTGAGAAACACTGATTCATGGAACCTTTTGCTCCTTCTGTTGCCAACTTCAACATGCTCCATCATTAATTCCTTTCCAGGGCCAAGCATATTCCTTTATGAAAATTGCTTTTGAAATGCTCTTGAAACCGCCAATTCAGGCATGGTTGTTTAAGAGCAACAGGTTTAGTCTCTTGCCATATAAGATGATGATACTTAAGTCTATCTCGTCCACCTTACCAGCGTTGTTGGCGTCATTGCAAGTAGTCAGTATGCATCCAACATTATCTTGGTTGATGTACATGTCAGTCACAACACTACTAACAGACTGATATAGAAGTCTATCTTGTCCACGTTTCCGGTGTCCTTAATATCATTGCAGATAATTAGTAGATATGTAATAAGCACCGTTCTCTTGAGGTTGCAGTCAATCAGTCACCTAACCTCACCCAAGAGAAGACCAGACTAGTCATAGAGATAGCGGTCTTTTTTTTTTTTCTGGTCACAAAAAATGCATCTCGACTAACTTCTAGAACCACAATGTCTAGTTTTTCTTTTTGACTGCATGAGATGGACATGTGTGGTCTCACCTCCATTTTCCTTGCTTGAGGAAGAACTTACCGGTTTCCTAATAGAAAAGTAGCTTCACGAGACACGAAAAGGGCTAATCAAATTTTCGGGAAAATGGGGCGGAGGCCCATCTCGACATGAACAGAGGTAACCATAGAATCGAGCAAAAGAGAGGGCGTGCGAGAAGGGGATTACAGGAAGCCGGATTTGGTGAACTGCGTGAAGCCGTACAAGCCGAAAGCCGCCGTCCTCCATGCCTAAGATCCACAAGGAAAACAAGCTTCTTTAGTTCCGATTCCGAGAAAATCGGTTCCCGCATCCGAAATCTTATTTAGCTTCGAGAAAAACGCCCTCGCAATTTGTTGCCGATTTCTTTCCCCCCCCCACATCGAAGATCATCATCTTTGGTTTCAAGAAACGCATCCGTAAGGAAGGTTCAAGATTCTGGTTGGCCACCACATCGGAATAGCAACAATAATAGCAAACAGGTAAGGGATGAGACAAGAGCGTACCTTCTGAAGAAACATCTTCGACTTGTGCAGCTTAATTGACTCTTTCGACTGAGATCTCCCGCGGAAGCCTGTCTTATGTATCCGACGACCGACGGAGGTCGCACGATAAACCCCAAAGCAGCCAAGATAATACCAATCTAAAGGTGTTCGACCTCTGTGGGGATCAGATCCACCGTCTAACCCAGGATACAGCATTTTGCATTCGTCACGACGAAAATAAATTGTTTTCCTACCTATGTTTTTGACTCTTTAATATAGATCAGGGAGCTACTTGTTGACTATGTAAAAATAATAATAATAATAATAATAATAATAATAATAATAAAAGGCTTGTAAACTATTTACGAGAAGAAAAACATATGATGGATAACATACGACGGTGATCGTAAGAGTTTGTTTACGTAGAAATTCCTATTGTTTGATTTTATTTAACTATAGTTAGTTATCTTTAGTATCTCAAATCTTATATTTTTAATATATATATATATATATATTAAAATTCTTATATTTTACGGAAGAGAAAGATTTAACTTCATTTCTCCTCACGCCATCGAATGAGGAGGTAAGATCATAAAAGAAAGAAAAAGAAAATATATAATGATAAAAAGAAAAAGATGAAGTAATTGAATAAGACTATCTCATTTTATCTCATAATAAAAAAAAATTCTCTCTCCTAAATTTTCATTTAAATGATAAAAATAATTTTATAAAATTATCTTTTAAATCCAATTTAGTATATTTTTTATACGTGATAATAAATACGATATTTTCATCAATAGACGACGTGAGAAGAAACATAATTAAAGATCGAAATGTTCGAAATAACTAATTGCATGAAATAATCTATAACCAACCCGATCTCATTCATGTAGAACATCAAAGTCGCATCACAAACCTAACAACAATCCCTCGTTCGACCAACAACAAGGAGAAGAAAAAGAAAAATCATTTAACTTCGGTAAGGAGTTACATCACACACCATACGACAGATACCACATATATCTATTTATAACAGCGCGCGCACGCGCACCGTAGGGGTCGACGACGGCCGAGAGCCAAAGAAGCCGCACGTCGCTGAAACTCGCCGGTCTACCGCAGCCATCCGGAGATATCCTGCGACAAGTCCAGTCGGTAATACGGTTTGCACAGGTGAGACGGATGCATCTGTTTCGATTGTCTCGTTGACTTTCGAAACGAAAACTAAGTGGGTAGCTGTTCATGTTGCCAGCAACTCAAAATCTTTGATTTTTGACACACATCATTCGGAAAGTCGATGCGTTTTGGGTTTCTGAACTTACATGGGAACAGGAAACTTACATCTCCGAGGCCCATCTCCAGGGTGAAGTCCACATCCGGCATGGTCCCTCCATCTTCCACCTCCGCGTCTGTCAAGGTTAACGCCTTCTGAAGTTTTCTATGACAGAATACCTCGACCTCGGCCATGAAAACGGCGGTGACAGGACGATGATCGGAAAGCTTCAGCTCAGCTCTTTTGTAGTCCAGAAGCCTCACACCCTTTCCAAACGACAGGATGCGATCGCACCTGAGGACAACCCGCGTTATCGTTCTTCGATTTCATCGCCAGGAGTCACACGAAAGCAAATCCGAAAATGCGCGCGTGAATCTTTCGAGCGCAGACATCGAAAAAGCACGGCGAGGAGGAAAGCAAGCAGGGAATTTGAAGGAGGATGGGAGAAAGAAAACAAATGAGTTACGTATTTTTGATCCACGAGTGAGAAACCAAAGCCGAAGCTCATACCACGCGGGATTTCTCCTCCCCCCCTTCTGGTCATCTCCCACATAGTTTGTCGAGTTGAACGCATACTTGTAGGTGGGAGGAAAGTTCATGACACCCTCTGACCAACCATCAAAGGCACGTCCTTTCTTGAGCTCCCGTTTTAGCTGCCACAGAATAGCAGAAGGGTTATCGTCCAACTTAAAACGGTAACAAATACAACGCGCAGGACATCACTGCGCAATAGTTTCAGGCAATCAAGGATGATGCTACCTGGTCTCTCTCTGCCAGCAGAGTCCAATTTCTGCCGGCGATGAGTTCATGTGTCTTTTCCGGTGACAAATCTATGCGATAGTTTAGATCGCCAAGCCAGAAAATTCTTCTGCAAAAACAAACAACGATTAACAGAAATAAACATGAAACAAATTTGCAGAAACAGCTAAGCTAATCACATAATATTTCTGAAGAAAATATTATGTCTGTAATGTCTCTCTTCTCTTCCACAATGCATCGGATATGCTGAATAAAATTCATCTTGCTCCTGAAGAAATCATCAAAGTCATCGTAGACAATCATAATAGCTTTCCTTGTCAGACTTCAGTTATCCTTGGAAATGGCACAAGCACAGATATGTAATTGAAGAGGCAGAAATCAGGGCTAGTGCCACAATAACACCAGAAGAGAAGATGCTACTAGCTAGTCCTTGGGTGATTGGAGTGTCCACTCACTCATGATCATGGATTGTTTTCGGCAATCCTGCACCGCCGGCAACCGTACTAAACTGGGTTCTGCGATGAATTTCTTGCACATCTGAATTTCTTCGAAGTTCATCCCCGCTTTTTTCGCCCGAAGATAGGTGGCTACACACGAAGCAAAATGGGGTCTGATATATGGACATGCTGACCGATATCGAACCCTGGAGCAAATTCAAAGTCATCGAAATATATATAGTATGCCACGATATACGATCATCAAAAGATTGTTGCAGTCTCAATTCACATGATTTCTGAAAATAAATCCATCCGTGTACAGAGTATCAACTAATGTATTGAATGCAAGAACAACCATAGGCAGTGAGCTAGAAATTCGTCAACACAACATTAACATAGGCGTACCGTAATGACAAAAGAACAACTTACTTTGTTGCCGATATAACCCATGACACCCACACCGACGGTAGATACCTTCAAGTTTTGGATGTGGTTTCTCACACTGCGGCGAACCCATATTGAAAGGTAAATTCCAACCATTTGTTTACTTATTATCCTCACAAAAGCCAGCCTTTTCTTTTTGAAGCCAATAACATTCAGGCCAACCTCCGATGAATCCTTGAGCTTACTGTGCACAGGCTTGAATGAATTGTAAGTTCTGAAAGACCTAATTGACCTAAAGGAAGTTGAATTACTTAAAGCATGCTTGGCTAACAAGTCTAGTGGCTGTTCTGGCCAAATCAACCCGATCCTCTCTGAAGTGCTGAGGGTCCTCAGTAGCTTCTTTTCCTGAATTGTTGTGGCTGCTGAGTTCACATCGTAATCAAATGAAGTAAAATGATTCAACCTTTGAAGTCTCTTTAAGGCGGGTGGCATATCATGATCGAGATCCTGTGGTATGTTTGATTCACCATGATCAAGATAAGAAGCCACGGGACCTTTTGAATCAACTGAACTTGTGGAAATTTCATCGTCATCGTCGGTGTCACTATTAGTCTCAGAGAGTAGTTCATCGACGGTGAAGTGAACATCTTCTGATGGTTTGAACCTGGACGGAGAGGGAGGATCGCTGTAACATTTATACTTTGGCTTTATGGGTTGAATCCTATTTAGTGTCTTACGAATGAGATGTTCCCATTTTGCAACCGGCCCGCTGTCCTCAGCACCAAAGATATTACCTGCATTCAAGGGAACGATCTCCTGGATACTGCAGGAGAAAGCTCACATGAAATCAGAACTACAGATGGGGAAAATTCATTGAAGAACTAGAGATGGAGGAAACCTCAAAACAGATAATGAAGATACACAAAAAAGGATAATCGAGACAGAACAACAAGAATGAAGTTGAGCTAATGAAATTTATTTGGTATTCAATTGACGGAGAAATTTTCAAACAGAATTTTCAGATCATGCTAATGAAATCCAAGCAAAACTGCATGACATCTATGCAGAATTTTCAAACAGTCGATCATGCAGATAGAATACTGGAACAGTTTGCAGGAATCCATTACCCAAGTGCATAGATATCAGCAGGCTCCTCCGTGTCCAGCCACTCTGCTATGTCTAGATCCTCTGGTGGATGTTGTCCTCCGACATTCCAAGTCCCGACGCAGACCCTAAAGAGCCAAAAGCACAAATATCTCATAGGACGATGCAATGCTACTCTTCTCAAAAACAAAAAATAAAATAGTAAATTCAGTGTTTTACTTGAGCATGATTAGGTTACAAGAAAACAAAAGAGGTGGACATGCCTGAGTTCCTTGGTGTTTATATACTGTGACCGGAGGGTCTCTGAATTCCTCCTCCTCAGCTTGTATGGGAAGCTCTCTAGGTTGTCATCTGCACAGGGAGACATCGAGTCACCAAAGAAAGAAGAGTAAACATTTGAACTGATAGACAGCCGAAATACTTATCCTCATCCCATGTGATATTAAACAGAATTCAGCTGATGCATATATAATGTTTACTCAATAAAGGTTCGGTTTTTAGAAGATCTTTCTTGCATATTTACAAGTCATGCATTGTTGCATACAAAAGTTCCTATTAATCCTATTCTATTATGCATAACAGTCCCATCATCTAATTTTATTTAGTTATCATCAACTTTACTCTCTCTCTCTCTCTCTCTCTCTCCTTGTCTATTAATACAATTGCAACATGAAGTCGTCAGCAACAATGAACAAAGAATCCTGTCATCTCACCGTGACACCACTAATACAATTGCAACCAAATTGCTGATTTCGTAAAGAATTGAGGGTGGTAGCTTTTGCAGGTCCACCACCGGAAGGGCATCATGGTGTGATTGGAGACGATTACGGGATTCTATTCTCCATTAAAGGAGGCAGACAGCCATGTCAAATGGTATAGGAAGACGGATGGTCCTGAGATCGTCGCCTTCACAGGAAGGCGGCCGTCACCTAAGTCCACCGACAGGGCACGCCGTTCCCATCTCATAAAAAGGAGACCAAAGAAAAGAAACACGTCGAGAGTGGGGCTCATGAGCTCCTTCTTGAGAAGGAGAAGGGTAGCTCCGTGTGTTCCCCGTCTCAGCCGAGACAGGGAAGCCTCACAGCTTGGACATGGTCGGTGCCAAGACAATGAGAAAGAAAAGGCGTCAGCGGCCTTGCCCAACTTGGTACAGTTGGCGGTGCAAGACCTCCGCAACCCCCCTCCTCTTCTCCTATTGGAGATGCATCCTCTGTGATGTTGTTTTCCCTTGGCGAAGATTCAAGAAACCACAAGTATGCAGTACTGGGGTAGCGTTGCTATGTACCAAGAAATGCTTTCCAGCATGGCACCACGTACCGTTTGTCTTGGCCTGAAGCCCTCTGGCTCTCCTCTCCTCGTTCCCCTCGCAACCACAGTTCTCTGCCAAGAAAAGAACCACCCGCTCGTCAAAAATCATCACCTTAGCAAAAGGGGAACACAACATATAGCTGCTGAAGCAGTAGCTGTAGAAGAAGAAACCAATCTTGAGAGGGGGACCTCCACCTTCATCCTCTTCAAGATCGCTTTCGTTGCCGCCCTCGTCGGCGCTGAACTCGGAGTCGTTGGCTCTGATGTTGAGCCATTTCTTGAGAACTATCTTGGGCCAGAAAACCTGCACGACTCGAAGCAGCAGCAGCAGCTAGAAACACAAAGCCAACGCAAGCCAAAGAAACAGGTAATCGAGAAAGCCAAGCATGGGATGGGATGGGATGGGATGATGACCTCTCCGGGCTTTTTCGGCGTCTGATTCATATCTTCCGGACTCCCCTGGGCTGGCCGCTTCACCACTCTCTCCTCCTCCCTTTCTGTGTAAAGGAATCGGTGCCAGTCGAGGAGCAATGAAAGCGCTAAAGCTTTATCAAGCAACAACGAGGAAGCAAGCGAGCGAGAAAAGGCGGCACCCTTTGCTGCGGCGTCGTTGTTGTGACTTACTGTTAATTGTATCGGTGTAAGCTCGGTCTCAAAATGTTTTAACTCTATATATAAGTCTAACTCGAAGTCGCCGTCGATGCATAGGCAAATGCCTACGGTGGTGCGTATGGCTCTCTGGCGAGTCGGCACATTACACATGTAGGCTGTGTAGATTCCAAAACTGCTATAGGTCAACGAAGAAGAACAAAAAAAAACTCCTACTGCTTATTCATCTCAGCTACATGCTCTGTTTTGATTGGAAGCGGCGGTAGAGAAACCGATCTGCTTGCTAGAAAACGCCAAACCCAACGCTCAAGGTCTTTATTCGTCTCACCAACCTGCCGGCGTTGGCGGTGGCGATAGAGAAACCGATCCTTGTGCCAGTAAATGGCTACATGGTTATGGCAAATTTTACATGAAGACAACATGATACAAACGAGAACCCATCTTTCATGCATAGTCACGCGCAATTACTAATACTAAAAGCATCATTCACGTGGCCGCGGTTCAAGAATACACGGAACTCGAGAGGCGTTGTTGCGACAGGGCCAGAATTTGCAAGTCGTGATGGGGACGGTAACAGGAGAGGAACTTAGTTACTGCAACACGCTTGGCTTTCGGAGATGAGAAAGTGCAGACTAGCTCAGTTTGAGAACCATAGAGAGAGAATTGGGAAGGGGGTCGGTCACCTTTGGAGCCCCGACGTCGGTGCCGGTCGTTGTCGGTGTGGCAACTTTTCCCCCTCTCTTCTACGCCGTGCCAATTAGACGCGACGGTCCATGGAACCTAATACCCCAACTGTCTCGGTGGGAACCAAGTTGTCATGGGTCATACGAAGAAGAGTCAGTGAGGAGGGGGGAGGGGAGCTTATAGATGATGGATGATGGCCCTGTGCGTGTCTCAGGTTGGCGATGGATGATGAATTCCCTATTCTAAACTACTCCACTGCACATAAAAAGTAAGCATCTACACATTCAGTTCGCTTTAACCTGAAGTACGCGTCCACCACCTTCATCTCCACTCCGAGTAATGGATGGATGGGGCTGAATTCGGTGGCGAGATGTTCTCAGAAATTATCACACGTCACCATCGTGGCATGCTCCATCATGGTAATCCACCACCTAGTGAACAGAGTTATTGATTCTAGATATGGCCCCAATAGGAATTGATGATTCCACACGCACCCAAGACGTGAAAAGCCCATGTCATGATTACTATCAGCCCATCTACTCAAGTGGCTATAAGCGTCCGAGAGACTCTCTCTCTCTCTCTCTCTTTCCTTTCGCTTCTCCTCTATTTGGCATCGAACCTGATTCATGTCGAAGTTCTCTCTGTCCTCAAGACCTTACCTTTGATCCTCTACCTTCCTCTTCGGGAGGCTTACCGTGCAACTCCAATCCTTGGAAGCTCTAACAAAACAAGAATTGAACTCTCATCTCCTCCATATTATTTAAACATTCATATTCTCTCATCTTCATGTTGTGTGTTTGAGATATGCTTTTTGGTTTTACAATTTTCAATAGAATTTATATCTTGATCATATCAATGATAAATATCTTAAAATTTTATTTGGTTTAAGAATTTCAACGATGACTTGCCGCACTAGGAATCCTAAATCTGCACCTGCATCCTCTCTCACTCTCTCTTTCTCTCTCCATGCATATAAAGAGTCAATAGAAGAGACAGCCAGCCACTTCTTTGGCTGACAACTAACTATCAGAAATCACCCTATTTGGACTAAAATCTACCTTTTCTCAACATAAGATTTTGATATAATTAATCATCCTGACAACACCTTGAAATGACGCCGGAGCTCAAAGTAGCAGTGGAAAAGTAACACCCAAAAATTGATCCATTAGATAAAAGCGAGAAACTTTTGAAATAGCAATTACGATAACTCGGTAAGATGAGCAAAACGAGAGAGAGAGAGAGAGAGAAGTAAAAAACGCACCTATTTTATTTCTCTTATTGCTTGCTTTTCTTTTCCTCTTTTCCACCTCAACCCCGAAGCATGACTCTTGCCTCCTCTATTTCTATACCCGCCGATACCTGGAGGAACCCGTCGATCACATCTTTCGCACCGAGGCGCGCGTCAAAATTCACGAATCAACAACCTTTGATGGCGATCATGACCGGTTGTCGATGTTCCGGTGAGGTGGAACTCTCATCAAAACTTGAGGTCTCGTAGACCCTGTGAGCGAGGGCCTACATCCAAGGGATCCTAGACATCAGGGGTATGGCAAACATCACATCACGATGTGATGGATCAGGCAAGCCAACAAGCCCACCTCGGATTCTTCGTCTTTCTTCGGTCACGTTTGAACCCAAGCGAATGCACCCAAGTTAGGGTAGAAGAAAATGGAGACGAACGTAAAATTTTAACCGCAAATAAATTATATAAAACAAAACTACTAACTGCTACCATCATAATATAAAAGCTGAAGGCCGCACTAATAGTCCTAAAACACGCAACTCATCACCCGTTAAGACAAATTTATTTTTTTCTTGCACGCTCATCCCTGACGTGAATTCTATTTACGTCAAATCTGGAAGCAGACGCTTTGGCCGTGTGGGGGCGTGCGCATCCGGCAGCACCATCGAGGAGGTGACGCCAACGATGACACCATTCGCAGCCGACACCACACACAGTCGGCACCTGGATTGTTGTAGCTTATCCAAGATGTTAACTGGCCATATCTGCCACAGCCATAGGAAAAAAAAGTGGATATTTTATATATATATATCAATAAAAGCATTATGATTAATATCCGACGTTATATGTAAACGCATTGGCTCAAACAAGACATTAATGTCCCGAGCATCCGGTTGGCCAGTCATTTTCTACCGTCGATTGGATGGACAAACTTCAATTATGCATCGTTGACGACAAGATTTTAAGTTTGAAAAGTCACGTAAACGATGAATTATTGCGAAAGCGTTTGCCGTGAAAACCTCAAAACATTTATCTTGTATGTCCCTATCAGAATCAATTCCGACAACGTAACCCCACCCCATTCACACGTTCTGCTCCCATCCAACTTCACTTTGATACCTCCGAGAATACTAGTGTTAACTTGAAATTTTCATATCAGCAATCAGATGATACCTACAGACCTAAGTTCCGTCGACCATGGTGAACACAACAAATTTGGAAGCAGGGAAAACACTCAGTACATATGATGAGGTATTTTGACCCAACTTTACGAACCAAAATCAAAGGATGCATAGACAATAAGCTTATGTCGACCGAACTTTACGAACCAACATCAAAGGACGCATAGACACTAACCCAACATAAAGGCGATAGTTTCAGGCTCTACGCTGTTCTTGATTATGTTTATATGCTCTTTTCACCTTTTGATCGATGCAGTAAGGGTGGTCTAACAACCAATTCTTGGAATCAGGTTCGGTCGAGTGACAACGAGCACAATAAAGAACAGAAAATCTTCCGTATTTGCTTTATTGAAAACAAAATAGTGGTCGAGTGACAACAAGCACTTGATTAGAGCAGGAAAAGCATCCACGACCAAAGGAGACTACGGATCCCTAATATCAGGCAGATTTTGGAAGGGTGATGGATCATATCACGCAAACACGCGATTGGATTCTGATGTATAGACTACTGTCCTGTAACATTCTGTCAAACAGATTCAGAGCATGTAATCCCAAAGGTTACTTCTTGATGATATAATGATCTCGAAGAGCATAAGAGACAACATGCATCCCTAAAAGTCCTCACAGGCAATAAATGTAGCAACAGTGCATATAGATCAAACAAAACTAGTGACCATAGGAAGAGCAGGAACAACAAAAATCAAAGCAGATATATAAGATATCAATAATTATAATGAAGGAACTACAAGTACCCTAGCGTCTGGAAGATAAAACACCAAAGATAGCACGTGGATGACGGATCAGTAGGGCAGCGAAGCGTACCACCGATTGAGGTCAGCGAGGAACCGCCGAGGGTGACCGGAGGAAATCATCGATGCGGCGGGCGCCGGGAGGAAGCGGCTTCTCATCGGCTGATCTGGCCTTGGAAGCGCCCGACGCTGGTTTCGAAGCCGGCGGAGGAGGCTTGGGGAGGCAGTCTAGGAGGAACTGGGAGGTGGGCCGGTGGGCGCGGGCGGCGGAGCGGACGTGGTCGAGCTTGATGATTCGGCGCTTCTTCTTGAGGGCCTCGATGCGTGCACCGGCAGTGAGAGATGCGAGGAAGAGGTCCGCGGAAAGGGAAATGAGGAGGAGGGCCTCCGAGGTCACCTTGCTGATCTCTCGATCCAGCTTCACGATCTTCTTCACCCTCCCCATCGGAAACGACGGACCCAGAACTCCAGACTCCTCCTCGTCGTCTTCTTCTTCTTCACCTCCTCCTCGTCGTTCCCCATGTTCTTGTTCTTGTCGCCGCTCACGATCGTCGCGCGTAGCTTCCATCGCTGGGGTTTCGACGGGATGACTGACGGCCCCAACCAAATAACTTTGGAATGGTAGGGAACAGATCAAAAAATTAGGTGGGAATTTTCCCGCCAAAAGTAGGAACAACATTAAAGGACCGTTGGCCCGGGCCATCGACCAATTGGGCCAACCCGTTGACCTGCCGTCAAAAGCTACCGGGTATTCAACGGTACAGGATCATTCCTGTTGGGGTCAACACAAAGGCCGACAACATCAGCATTACTTGGGAACAAAATTTAACATAAATCCGAGCACAACTTGATTTAAAAAAAAATATTCGAAACGAAAAATATAGAGAGTCAAACTTCCATCAACCTCTTAGCCCACCTTGCTTCTATGGAACACAAGATTTCTAATCAGCAGCCATAGTCATAAAATAAATATTTTTTTTTTCTTATTGAAGTCACAAAAAATATATGATCATTGGACAAGTGAGAGGACTCATCCAATTACGATCTGAAATTTATAATATCTAGGCTGCTCCGATTCTCTAAGATCAAGGCTTCATATTACAACGAGAAACTCTTTAAAAATGTTGATGCAGCATCACGGAGCAGCTTACTCATCGCCCTCTTCTGGTTATCTGCCTCGTGAAACCTTGACGTCTGAGTTCCATCATTTGAAAATCTTGTAGCCGGAATGCTGAAGAAGAAATAACAAGCACCGATGCGTCAGTGGCATAGTGTTTAAGTTCGGTTTCATCCATGGGAAACATGCGACATGTGAATGCAAAAAACAAAAACAAAAAAAAAATCACCACCCTCCCACAAAGTTATACATTTAGAGACTTCTTTTTGCTTATTTACCTCGGGAAGTTCTGTTCTTGTAAATGGCCTTCTTAGGAGCATCAACAAACTACATAAGGTGCTTGCAAGGATTCAAACTTTTAAGATGAATCTCAAACTTCATTTCTACAAGGTTTTATATCGCACAAATAAATAACCAATAAACAAGTGCCGGCCAAAAAATGACCTTTTTTCCATAGAAGTCTAGTGGCTCTTTTAGAGCATCTTCTGAGATCAATAAGATCAGCATATTGGCCTTCTTATGGAATTATATTCTTATCATTAGATATATTAGAAGAATCCAATGTGCATGATGACATATGGATATATGAAGATTCAACGAGTTAGAATCTGCTGAACTTATCCTAAGATAATCCATATTCCAGGCAAATTAAGAAATAATCCAAATTGTACAATGCAAGATCAGAAAACAATAATTGAAACTAAAAATTGCTTATAGAATCATGGAGATGATGACATCAATAAATAGAGATCATAATCTCATTGTACAACAAAAAATATAGGAAAACAGAACCCGACAAATGACATGCTACTTCAAATCATATATGAGTAAGACATGAGTCCTCATACTCACCTGTTCTGCCATCAAGAAATCTTCAAGAGCTCATGGAATGCTTCCTGTGGTATGTCCACAGATCCCACACGCTTCATGCGCTTCTTCCCTTCCTTCTGCTTCTCTAATAGCTTCTTCTTACGAGTAACATCGCCACCATAGCATTTTGCTAGGACATTCTTTCTCATTGCCGAAAGGCTGAAATGAGGTACAGCCAATCAAAGAGCCCTTATCGAAGTCAAGATTGCAGTCATGGCTAGACAAGAATGGAAAGAGTAGGATAATTGCATCTACTATTGAGAATAAGCAAGATGAGCTTGAACAACACATAATAAATAAATGGAGTGGCACAACAGCTTTGAATGATAGTGATTCGAAGATTTGCTTGCTTGTACGATACTATGATCACCGCACTATTAGCTACCCGAGATATTGTGGCTCAGGAAGGTCATCTGAAGTTACTAGAGACCAGCCACTCATTCCTTTTTTCTTTTCTTTTTTTTTGGCACTGTAGTCAATGTGCCACTCAGATCTAATGGATCGGGAGTGTGGACAACAGACTAGGACAGTTGGGAAGTATAATGGTTGTCTCTCATGTGCACTCATGCACACACCAATCTAATCCATGCATCGTAACAGATACAACACATTCCCTACTGTTGAAGCTAGAATTTCAGTCCATAGGTTGCAACATCTAAACAACCCATATATAGGCATTGAAGATTAAAATGTCAAACCTGACAGAGAATACCCACTCTCTCCCCCACTCTTCCCCACAAGCCTTTTTCGCACCCTATTGAGGACCAGAAAGTTTCACCAGCAATGTCCACTAAATATAAGATATTGTGAAAGAAATGTCTTAAGATATTGTGAAATAAGTGTCTTATTACTACAAAAAAACACACATAAGATATAGTTTTCTTTCCCAAACTGTAAAAGTTGCTGCACAAACTACTATGCACGCATTCAAGGTGAGAACGTAACATTTGTTTTCATCCCATCACCCAAGTCTTAAGTTCACAATCTAAGAATCAGTATTATGCATTAGCAACTTCTTCATTGTATGCCATCATGTTGGATATACATATGATGAATTACATAAACACATGAGCAAAAGACAGAAAAGGAAATTTGTAGTAATTACTAGAACTAATTGCACCAATCCACGTTCGGCAAATTGTAGCATGACAGCTGGTATTGACACAAGAAATGATGAGTGCAAGTTCATACTCATAAAATAAAAAATAGAAAGAAAAGTTCATAGTCATATGATATTTATGGGGGCACATAACAAAAACATAGCATGGCATGGGGGACATGCTGCAGCATGTAACCTGCCATGCCACAACGATATTATAAATCGATGAAAATTAAATTGGTGGGAAGATATTATCATACGTCTCCCTTGCGACGACTTTCGATCCAATTGCAGCTTGTATTGTTATCTCAAACATATGCCTGCCAAAATGTCAAGGTATTAGGGCATGAATCACCAATAGACACCACAACCAAATTGTTCCCAAATGTAATCCAGTGCCATACCTGTCTATAAATTTCTTAAGTTTATCTACCAATTCACGTCCAACCCTTTGTGCCTTCAGATTATGTACTATGGCTGCCATAGCATCAACTGGTTGCCCATTAAGAAGGATATCGAGTTTAACTAAATCGGATTTTTGATATCTGTAATCGCAACTGAGAATGTTAGTTTTTTTTTGTAGAAACCTTTGAATAAATGAAGAATAATTGTAGATACTGATCATTATGACATGCCACAGCATCTACGCTTGTCATATGTGGTTTGGTATCTGATTCAAATGATTGATATGAATTGAAACAACAAATGACAATATTTTGTCATTTATTATTTTCTGAGGATTTAAAAATGTCAACTTAACATTCTTATTATATGACATACGATTGCTGTCAAGCGGTATAGGTTTTCCACTTTAATAATGGAAGCAACATGTTGCTCACATAAAAGCCTCTTGGGTACTCAGCCGTGCAACTAGAACAGTAAAAACCATCCAGTTTCAGCCTTGCAACTAAAATGAAGACTAGCTAAACATTTAAGTTAGTTTTTTTCCTTTTCATTTTAACATCTAAGTTAAAGCATAAATCTAGAACAGTAAAAAGCTCTTAGATAGTCATTAAAGCCTCTTAGGTACTCAGTCATGCAAGTAGAACAGTAAAAACCATCCAGTGTCATCCATGCAAATAAAATGAAGACTAGCTAAACATCTTAGTTTTTTTTTCTAATCTAATTTTAACATCTAAGTTAAATGTGTCACTGTTATGTAGCTAGCTCCTGGTATGTTATTGAAGCTTCTCTGACAAATGACCTCATCATAAAATATAAGATGCAGTACAATGACTAACGGAGTACACAAGTGACTAACCAATGAATATTGTCAACTATAGCATAAGACAGTGGATGCGATCAAGATTTTTGAATCAATTTTTTGATTAGCATCTCAAAAGAACAAAAACAATCAATTTACCTATAAAACTGGTAGTCTGCTATACAAACTGTTATGTAACTAATAATATCTGAGATGACAAATAACCAGCACTTACTCAGAATCCTCATAGTCAAATGTAGCATATCCAGATGTTATACTTTTCAATTCATTGTAGAAGTCCACAATAAGTTCCCTTAGTGGCAGTCGGTACTTCATAAGTGCTCTCTGACTGCATGGCAAAAGGAATATTAATTGAAAACTGACAGACTACCAACTCAACAAATGGTGTTGGCCAAAAATTACCTGTCAATAAATGAATATTCGAGCTGCTCTCCTCTCCTTTCTGAACAAAGTGTAATTACAGGCCCAACATACCTGAACATAGATTAAAAAAGTAATGATCTTCGAGCTCCTCATCCAGGACAGAGTTGTTGTTATGAAGTAGCAGAACAAGGAAGCAGGGCTTACTCACTAGGAATAATAATGGTAGCAATAACAGAAGGTTCCCAGCAAGCAGTAACACGCTTTCCAGGATTTGAAGACAGTGCAGCAGGATTTTGAACTTGTACCTTACTGATAAAGTAAATAAAGTTAGATGGCAATCACATTAATGACATGTGATTAACTCTTTACACAAACATCACCTGCCATCCGAATACTCGAATATATAAGGTACAGTTGGTACTGTCGATATGAGCTGAGCTCCATACTCCTACAAAAGCAGTGACAATGAAGGCAATGTTGAGAAGCACTTCAGAAATAGTATAACAAACATCTAATCAAGTGTAGAAAAGTCAAAAACTCATCAACGTAAACCACATCAAAGTAAAGATATAGACAGATAAGGCTAGGAGCATATTAAGATTGTCCAATCAACAAAACATATCAGTCCTAAAACATAGGGAAACAGAAATTAGAAATCATCAAGACTTGGATGTAGATTTGACATGGTTACAGATACCTAAAGAAGGAACATATCAGTCCCAAAAAATAGGGAAACAGAAATTAGATATCATCAAAAGATTTAGTTTCAAAATATGAATACATCATTCCATACCAAACAGTAAAAAGCCTATAAAAAACTACAATGGGTACTGGAAAAGAACATATTTCATCAATTTAACTACATTTTAGGATTGGTATTTAGTCCAAATCATGTGGTAGATCCCAGATTTTGGCAACCAACATCAGAAGGAAGGATGGCCA